TCGTCATGCTTCACAATTCTCGGAACCTACTACTGGGGAGTGGAACAGCTCACTGGGGAGTGGACCAGTTCAGTAGGGAACGGATTTTTCCTTTGAGAGCCTTCTGGGGTCTCCAGAGGCCTCCAGAGGTCGTCATCGTCGTCGCCGCCGGCGTCGTCGTGGTCTCCTTCTCCTTTCTCCTCCAGGGGGGTGGGCAGGCAAGAGAAGGGAGGCCAGGAGGGGGAGGACGAGAAAGGAACGGAGGAAGGGGGGGGAGGGGGCAGGAAGCAGGAGGGGGGAGAGAGGAATAGGGGAAGGGAGAGAGGGATCAAGGAGGGAGACGGTAGGGAGGGGGAGGTCAGATTGCTCAGCGTGTACATTGCGGGGAGGCTGGCCGCCCTCTGACGCGCACCTTCCGTGCTGCGATCTTCCAAGAAGAGTACTGTGCCCAATTCGTATCGCGGCTTGTGGTCAAAGGATTGAATAATGCCCCGATCGGTAATGATCAATCCACTGGTACGGGAGAAGATGATGGCCTTGATAGAGCTCCATATTTCATGGGGTGTCGTGCCCATTTTCTGACACTGCACCGAGCTCGATAGCAATAGCTCTGGGGCCGCTTGTTGTGTGACGACTCCTGATGCTACCATGTCTGGACGACTCCTGTACACCCCTTCAAGCGTACAGGCTCGGCAAGTGCCAGTGCGTTTCAGAGCGCACGATGCGGTGCCACGCATGCGATCCGCGCGGGAAGCGGAAGCAGAGTCACAGGCCAAGTGCGTGATTTGCCTCCCAATGTCTTTGTAGTGCGTATTTCCCCATAGGCGTGTGTGTATGTCTACACACACGCTGAAAATGCGGCGCAACCCAGAGAAGCGCACACGTAACATGATTAGGGGAACAAAAAGTGACATAAACATAAAAACTCTGAGGTCCGCGCGGATTTCTCAGATCGGCGCTGGGGCCCCCCGGCGGCGCCTCCGGCGCCGCCCCTGGCGCGCTCCGCGCGCCAGGGAGGGGGGTCCAGCGCCGATCTGAGAAATCCGCGCGGACCTCCGAGTTTTTATGTTTATGCCACTTCTTGTCCCCCTAACGATGAAGACTAAAACGTGTGAATCACAGCTCGGCGGTGGACAAACCTCCCTTTAGTAAGCCTCCCCTTAGTGAAAGCGGCCTGGGACCGAAACCGACGGACCTGCACCCGCAAAAATGACGGCCGTGACGCCCTCTCGCGAGCCGAAAACGGCCAATTCACTAATCGACGTGTCAGGGTAGGAGGTCTGTCCACCCCCGAACAGCCAGAGGCCAGTATCCGCGAACAACGTTTTCAGAACCAGGGGTGGTTGCCGAGCGTGCGCGCGCGTCCCCCGATGAACCTCCTCCCGCTCTTCACCGGCATGCCCGCCGCCATCCTCGTCACTGACATGATGCTCCTCCTGGAAATCCTCTCCACCTCGCCTCTCCCGCCTGCCCTCCCACTCCACCTCCTTTCTCCCCCCTCTGCTCACGTTCCTCCTAACCTCGTCTTTCTCCTCCTCCTCCTCCTCATCCTTCTCGGTATCCTCTTCATTGTCCTGATATCATATGACCTCGTCCCACTTCAAATTATCGTATCCTCCGGGCTCTCCTCCTCTTCCGCCTCATCGTCGTCATCCTCGGCCTCCTCCTCGTCCTCCAATGACCGTACCTCCTCTCCTCGCTGACCTGTCGCTCCTTGTCGCCGCGCTCCTCCTTGTGGTGCTCCTCTTCATCCTCCCCTTCCCCCTCCCCCTCCTCGCCCTCCTCCTGTTTGGACGCCCGAAATGGGAACGAACAAAAATGGGTACAATGCCCAACAGCAAACGTTGTCCCACACCAACAGCGGCCGCTGTTGGGCAGGCGTCCTGATGTCTCGAACTGAGACAGGCCGCGGCGGGGTGGACGGCGAGCCCTGTTCAAAATGAACCAGAACTGCTGTTGGGCATTGTACCCATTCTTTCCGTACTCCAGATTTCGTAATCAAGGGAGGGGGGTCTCATTTCGGGGGGGGTCTCTTCCAGGCTATCTTGGAGGGCCTGGGGGGGTCTGGGGACGATGTTTTGGAGGGTTCTCCCAGGGGGGGGGGTCTAAAACTTCTCGTCTGGGAGGGTTGAGACCCCCTCCCTTTTATTACGACATCTGGACTACCCATCCTCCTCCTCATCCTCCTCACCCTCCTCCTCCTCCTCGCAGCATGACGCCAGGCCGCCGCCACCTCCCGAGGGCGGCAGCCCGGCGTGCGCCCCGCGGGGCCGCGTGGTCGTCGTCGTCGGCGTCGTCGTCGTCGGCATCGCCGTGGTCGTCGCCACGCCGGTGTGGAGAGGTGGGGGGCGGCGCCGCGGCGACCGGCGATGGGCCCCGCCCTGACGCCTCGGGCGGGACTAGCTTCTACCACAACGACCGGTGCACCTCGCGTACGGCAGCTCGGAGCCCGGAATGCGAGGATGTCTCAGGCGAAACGGGCCGACCGCACCTCGCGAACCGCAGCTCGGAGCCCGGAGTTGCGAGGATGTCTCAGGCGAAACGGGCAGAGACACCTCTCCCGCGGCATCTCGGAGCTCCGAGTTTACAAGATGTCTCAGGCGAAACGGGCGAGACCATCTCGCAAGCAGCATCTCAGAGTTCAAATTTGGGAAGATGTCTCAGGCGAATCGCCCAACCCGGAAAACTCAGAAACGAAAATTGTGAGGATGTCTGAAGCGAAACGGCCCAGACCACCAAATGTTTGTTGAGGACGTCTCTGTCTCGACCTCCCTCGGCCGGATCTGGCTACTACCACAACAGCACCCCGTTCAGCAAGCCGTTTAGGGAACAAACAAACTCTCCAGCCTGGGAGGTGAGCCTGGGGGACAGACCACCTCGCGAACGGCAGCTCGGAGCCCGGAGTTGCGAGGATGTCTCAGGCGAAACGAGCAGAACCACCTCTCGCGCGGCATCTCGGTTCAAGGAGGTCTCAAGCGAAACAGGCCAGAACACCTCGCAAACGGTATCTCAGACCCCAGAGGATGTCTCAGGCGAAGCGAAACGGCCCAGACCACCAAACTTTGGTTGAGGACGTCTCTGCTTCAACCTCCCTCGGCCAAAACTGGCTTCTACCACAATAGCACCCCGTTCAGCAAGCCGTGTGGAGAATTGGAAACAAGCCGCGAATCAACTTGTGGCGGCTGCTCAAAAAAGAAACTAGAGTCTAGAGGAACATCCATCACCACAGGGCCCCCATCCGCGCAGGGGCACTGCCGACGCGGCTGGCTTGGCCTGCCGCTGCATGCACATCCAGTCTGGGACGTAGAGGCGGACGACCTGCGCGTTCAAACCACACCTTTTCAGTTATGAAGGGACCCTGGGACACACAAATAAATACACACAAATATTTTTCCATATTTTCCCAGATGTTCTAGTCTTTTTGTCTTCCCCCCCAGTTCCCATATTTTCCCATATTTCCCTGGGAGTCGACTCCTGAATGTATGACGAAACCCATCAATTATGTTTCGGACCTGCACTGTGTCTGGAGGTCCCGGGCAGCCCCGTGCCGGTCCCACGACAACACACGGCGTCCGCCACATCAGCGCATATGATGTTCCGTATCTCGACGTGCACAACTTCTTCCGGCCGCGCGCAGATGTGCCCGCAAGCCGAATGACCATGCCCTGGGGAACCATAGACATCAGTGTCCTCACGCTCTCCTGTGGCGAGGCGGCTTTCATCTGTGCAGGGTGCAGATGCTACTCCACTGGTCAGGGCTGAACCTAAACCGTGTTTTTTGTCTTCAATCCGCCTTTACCGCAAAACGGAGTCGAAACGAGAACGGCCCACGAAATCGCCAAAACACCGTTTGGATCCAGCCCTGCCACAGGTGGCCTCGCGAAGACTTCTCTCCCAAACAACGGCACGGTCACCCGCGCGTCATGCTCAGCCCGGCTGGCGCGCGGCGCGTGCTGGCGGATCGCCCGCATCCAGGGAAAAGCGATGCCGACAGGTGCTCTGCCACGGAAGTGTGCAACCAGTGCAGCGAAGAAGGGTTGCACTCGTCACGGCATCACGTCCCTCCGTGCTGCACTGTGGCGCTGCAGAGAGAGCGCAGGTGCAGTTTGGCGCTGACACGGAAGCCTCCTCCTGCTGGTCCCCACCTCCGATGCGAGAACGGCGCCCCTGCACAGTGCCATGTTTGGACTCCGTTCAGGCCCCGCTCCATCGCAGTACAGTCGGGCCGCTGAAAGAAGGAACGCTGAATAAGGAACGAATCCCCTTCTTGGCCCTGTAAGCGCCTCCGTGCCCCAGGAGGGCAAGAGGGACAGCACCGGAGGAACCTCAGGAACATCGGGCCCCTGCCGAACCCAAACTGTTCCTTATTTCAGCGCCTTGACTGTTCGGTGCACAGTCTTCCAGCTCTGAGGGCAGAACCGCTGTGCACGGTGCCATCTCCGGGGTCGAGGCTTAGGAGGAGGAGGGAGGAGGGAGGAGGGAGGAGGGAGGAGGGAGGAGGGAGGAGGGCGGAGGAGGGAGGAGGAGGAGGAGGAGGAGGAGGAGGAGGAGGAAGGAGGATGAGGAGGAGGTTGCCGACGCCCCGGGAGGCGCCGACGCGGCTCATGGCGCCGGCAGGCCGTCCGCGGATCCCATAGATCTGCCACGGGGCATATCATCCCACACCAGCGCCACACCGGCCCACCCCCAACGAGAGGGAGGAGGGCGGAGGATGCAGGAGGCGGAGGAGGAAGAGGACGCAGAAGACGACGACGACGACAACGACGACAATGAAGAAAGGAGTTCTGGCGACGTCGACGACAACGACGACGACGACGATCGCTGTGACAGTCGCGACAAAGCGGCGGCGACGATGACGATGACGACGACGGCAACGATGGCGACCAGCGGTGACGACCAGGAATGACGACGGGCGGCGACGACGTCGGCAACAGCGACTGCAACCAACGGCGGGCATCGCGAAGACGACGGCGACCTCCACCGGCGGCGGCGGCGAAGCCGTCGAGGGCTGTGGCGTCCGCCTGCTGGCTGGCGTCCGGCACGCTCCCGCACGGGAGACGGCACGGGCGAGCCGGAAGGCTCGCACGCTGGGCGCGGCTTGCTGTCGGCTGGGAGGGCAGAGGCCATGACGCTGGGGCTGGCACAGCCGTGCTTCCACTTTGCCCTTAGTAGAAAAAGACAGACACCACAAATAGAAGCTTTTGGCGCTCCGCACGGGTTTCTTGGATCTGCGCTGGACCCCCCTCCCTGGCGGGCGGAGCGCGCCAGGGGCGCCGCGAAGGCGCCGCCAGGGGGGCCCGGCCCGGATCCAAGCAATCCGCGCGGAGCGCCAAAAGTGTATGTTAATGAAAATTGTTTTCCTTCGACTTCGGTGTCCTGATTGAGCTCGAGTCACCTGCGCTGGGCACCCTCAGCCGCGCATGCATGACACGTGAGGGCGGCGCGGTCCCGTACCTAGAAAGCGGTGGATTCTGCCTCGTGTTTTCGCATGCGCCGACGGCGCGGCGCGATCGTTTCAGTGCGCGTACAGTCGACCCGTATCATAAGGATGCGCGGTAAGTATGCAAGGGCCTTGGAGGGCCATGTCAACGTTTTTTGGACGAGGTTGGCCAGCGAAAGTCGCTAAGAAAGGGCCGAAGGAGCAAGGATGTAAGGGTACCCTTGGGAAGGTTGCCCATTCTAACTATGCGGGTTGACTGTAATGGCTGGCCTGTCATGTAACATTGCCGCATGAAATATGTTTACCCCTCAACCAGTCTCTGGATGGTCCTTGAGGTAGTGCGTCGCCAAACTTTGCCATCATTGGTTGGAGCAGTGTCGACACCAAGAGCTACCGAAGACTCTGCGTGCTTTCCAGAGCGGTGATTGTCCCGAGGGACCGACGCGCATTCAACGGCAAACGAGAAAAATCGAAAAAGCCTGGCGAAGGACCCAACCATACGCAGTTGTGAGCGCCGTCTTTGTATGCACCGCATTCGGAGGAGCTCCCTATAGGGCCACGAAGCATGAGAGGGTTGTGCCAAAATGGGTGCGGTGGGCGTATGCAAAAGCAACCATTGGAGCCTTCGGTGGAGTTGCCTATGGGGGCGCGAAGCGTGTGAGTGGTGTGCCGAAATAGGTGCGGTGGGCGCATGCAAAAGCAGCCACTGGGGCCGTCGGTGGAGCTCCCTATGGGACCGCGAAACGTGTGAGGGGCGTGCCTAAAATGGACGCAGCCACCGGGGCCGTCGGTGGAGCTCCCTATGGGGCGACGGAGCGTGAGAGGGGTGTACCGAAATGGATGCGGTGGGCGAATGCGAACGCAGCCACCGGGGCCGTCGGTGGGGCTCTCTATGGGGCCACGGAACATGTGAGGGGTGTGCCAAAATGGGTGAGGTGGGCGCATGCTCGGGCCTTCAGTGGAGTTGCCTATGGGGGCGCGAAGCGTGCGAGGGGCATGCCAAAATGGGCACGGTGGGCGCATGCGAACGCAGCCGCTGGAACGTCGGTGGAGCTTCCTATGGGGCCACGAAGCGTGTGAGCGGTGTGCCCAAATGGGTGTGGTGGGCTCATACGAACCCAGCCACAAGGTCCGTGGTGGAGCTCCCTATGGGGCCACGAAACGTGTGATGGAGTGCCAAAATGGGTGCTGTGGGCGCATGCGAATGCAGCCACTGGCGCCTTCAGTGGGGTTCCCTGTGGGGCCACGAAGCGTATCTGGGGTGTGCCACAATGGGTGCGATGGGCACGTGCGAACGCAGCCACTGGCGCCTTCGTTGGAGCTCCACTGTGGGGCCACGAAGCGTATATGGGCGCGGTGGGCGCGTGAGCACGCAGCCAGTGGAGCTTTCGGTGGAACTGCCTCTGTGGCCACGAAGCGAGTGAGGGTTGTGCCGACATGGATGCGGTGGGCGCATGCGAACGCAGCCACTTGTCCTTCGGTGGAGTTGCCTATGAGGGGCACGAAACGTTTAAGGGGTGTGCCGAAATGGGTGCGGTGGGCGCATGCGAACGCAGCAATTTGGGCCTTCGGTGGAGCTCCCAATGGGTCCACGAAACGCGTGAGGGGTATGCCAAGATGGGTGCGGTGGGAGCATGCGAACGCAACCACTCGGGCCTTCGGTGGGGCTCCCTGTGGGGCCACGAAGCGTATCTGGAGTGTGGCACAATGGGTGCATGGGCGCATACGAACGCAGCCACTCGGGCCTCCGGTTGAGCTCTCTGTGAGGGCAAGAAACGTGCGAGGGGCGCAAGCGATGTGAGGAGCGGGAGAAGGGAGGAGTGGGAGGAGGAAGGATGGATGGAAGGAAGGAGGGAGGATGAACGCGAGGCGCTGGCCTCTTCAAAACGAGGACCCAACACCACACGATGGTTAGGAAACATGGATCAGATGGAGATGAGCTCCGCCGACCCTGTCCGCGTGTGTGAGAGGCTGTTCCGTTTGGGTCGTCGTCGTCGCCGTCGCCGCTCCCCTCCTATCCCTGAGCCCTCCTCCTCAAGCTTAGGTCGGGCGTCCCCCTACAGGGGAGTTTTGGACGAAAA